ATTGTTCCTTGTACTGGACTTCTGGGATTTTTGTCTTTGATATGTTTTGTTTCGGGTACTGGGGATCTAACTCAGGACCTCACACTTACAAGGCAGGTGGTGGAACCATTGAGCTAAATCCCTGGCCCCTGTCTTTCATATGTTGTGGAGAGCTTCTTTTCTGATCATGGCTATTTGGGGTCATATATGCCTCAGTTATCTGTATGAAATTGTTTCCCCATGTTTGGAAAATTTTCTGCTGTCATGTTTGTAAACACTTTTTTGTGCCATTTGAACTGTGTTCTGATTTTTCACTAATTTCAATTAATGTTAGATTAGTCTTCTTTCCATCACTTTGCAGCTGTTGGATCAATTTGTCATGTTGTCTTATTGTTTTTAAGGTATCTCTGAATAATCGGTCACCAACATCTACTTTAGTTCCTAGTTTTTATACTCTGTCCTTACATTACTCACTTCTATAACCTAAACATTCAGTAGAATTTTTAATCACCTGAATCTAGTTTCAATCCTTTCTATAAATTCTAATTTTTGATAAACAGATCATTAATGTTTTTCATCATTTTTTAGGGTTTTTTTCATCTTTTTTCAGTTTAGCTAGCTTTTCATCAGTGTCTTCTGTGAACTTGTGAATCATTTAGTTTATTAAATCCATTACATATTGATGTATATCTTCCTTGAGCTCACATAGCACCATATTAATCTGTTTTTTCTATCTCCTCTTTAATGTTTTTCAATAATTTAGCTGTGCTGCTTTTGATATCTTTCCCCTTGATGACTCATGGACTAGCTCATGCTTCTATTGTTTTGTTTTTGTTCTTGTTACTGATTTTGGTAAAAGACTTCATTGCTAGTATGGAGACCTATTTAGTGTCCACTTTTCAGTCATCCACTCTGTGCATGGCTAACCATAGGCCTTTGCCTCTGTTCTAAGATCCAACCACCTGTATTTATTTGGGAGGGGAGGCTGCAGTGTATCTGCCTCAGCACCAGTTTCTGGGATGGGCTACAGTATTGTTAATGACACAAAGGCATCCCAGATACTGGAGTACAGGGAAAATCAATGATTAGTAACAACTATGCTACATTGGTAATAACAATAAAATCAGCTACAGCAACAATTCAAGGACAAACTGTATATAGACACACTCTAAGAACCTATACTGTACCATCCTTAATCACAGAACAATAATCTATAATTATAAACACTAAGACAAACTAAATTTTGATATTTAGCAAATATCTACTAAATGAAACAACTATACCTCAAAACTATATGACTATTCAGCACTAATTACATAGAGTTAACTCTCTAAAGATTCAGAAAGCTTAATGACTATACTATTACATATAGAAGGGGTAATGAACTAAAAATGAAAGTAAAATTTTAAAAATTATTCAGTGAAAGATGAGAAAAGAGAAAAATGAGATAGAGGATCTTGAAGGGGAAAAGGAAAAATAACAGTATTAGATAAAAGTAACAGAAAAGAACAAACAAGTAAAAAAATAAACTGAGCAAAATAAAGGAATAAAAAGACTAACAAGGAAAGAAAATGAGTTAAAATATTTCTGCTGTCTTGACCTACCAGTGACCCATGCGTGACTATTCCTTCAGGCAGCTTGTGCCACTGTTAGTACAAACATATCTAATCACTTTATTGGTCTTTTTGCTAAGAAAATTAATAAAAAGTCTACAAATGGATGAAATCTAGTTACTTGAATTTGAATAATTACTGCCCAAATATAAGTATTAATCTATTGATACCAATTAAATTTTAATCAACAAATTTATTTATTTTATTAATTTAAAAGAAATTAATTTATATTTGTGGATAGTTTACCAATAATTAATTATCTAAATTTTTACATGGTAATCTCACTATAATTAATTTGATGGATACTGACACTTTTGAATTTCTGCTCACTTCACAATTTATACTCTTAACATTTCACTTTCATGCAACTTTCAATTTATGTTATTTATTCTATGACTTAATGGGAACCTTCATTTGATTCCTGGACTCTACTGATGAAAAATTATGATATCTGTCTTAATTTTTATTGTAGAATTATTAAAACTGAAATGTTGTAATGACAGTGAAAGATTTGATAAATGTGCTGAATAGTATCAGGGGCTAATCAGACCCCAAATTGCCTGCGTAAGGGTACGACAAAGGATAAAAGACACAGAAACAATAATTTAGAATGCAAGTGAGTCTGGAGGGAAATATGCCCTCCACAATCTCCAGATTGACCTATTTTTATTAGAAAGCTAAAAGCACAGGGGGAGGGTGTCATCATCATTCATGGAATAGTGACTGCCAGTAGGTGTCAGTAAATGTGTAACTAAAGTGTAATGGGTAACAGACCTTTCTCTCTACCTGGATGCCTTCATTCTATATATTGTCCTCAGAAGAAGTTATCTTGAATTATGAGTGCTGTGCTTATGAGTTTTCCTAAGGATTATAAATGGATGATGCAGGAATATATAACAAAAATCATATATTATTTGAAAATGGGAAGGAAATCAATGGTTATAACTCTGAAATTAAAAATGTCTAGTAAAATAAAGAATGTAAACAATACTATCTATTCTGATTCAGACGTTTTTGGACTCTTTATATGTTTATAATCTTAAAGCCTATAGGGACCTTATATAGCTTTTGTTTATGTAGGCCATACCTACTAGTATTTATTAGAAATCAAAACCATAAAATAAAAATATTAATCACTAAAAATAAAAATAATAAACACATTATATAGGACCTAATATAGTTATATTAAAGACATTTTGAAGGAAATATTTACCACAGGCACAAATATTCCAGGCTCTGAGTACTGGTGGTATACAAGGGGTGATTGAAAAATAAGGTGTATGCTTAAAAATGTTTTATAGTGAAAGCCATATTGTCATTTATCTCTGGCAAAGTACTCTTTTCACTTTCAACAAACTTATCCCATCATTCTTGCCACTTTCTGAAGCAGTTCTAGAAGTCTTGTTTTGTGAATGTCTCTATGAAGTGTGATAAAAAATTCAGGGAGTTCCATTGGTTAGTGCCATCTAATGGAAAAGGAGGCTTGTAAAAATAACTGAATTTGTCTTCATCTACCTATTCACTGGATCTGGTACCCTGTGACTTCTGTTTCTTGTTCAAAATCCAAAAGACTATGAAAGGTAAATATTTTGAACAAATTCAGGTCACGAGGCAGCAAGGACAGTGCAAGTGAAGACAATAATGAAAAAGGGCATCCAGAACTGCCTCAGAAGTAGCAAGAGTCTTGAGAAAAGTCTGTTTGAAGTAAAGTTTTTTTAGGGGAGATAAATAACAATGTGTCTTTTATTGTGTTTTTTATTTAAATACATACCATATTTTATTTCACCACAGTTATAATTCACTACTTGTTTTTCTTTAAACAGTTATTTAGATGTGTGTGCTTCTCTCCTTTTTAGACTATTCTCAAATTCCACTCTCACTGCCTAGTATGTGAAATAACTCTCATTCTAGTCTCCTGTTAATTACTACATCAGTTTTCAAAAACATACAATCACATTACAGCCACTAAGACTCCAGTGTCTGACTCCTCAAAATAAATTCACATTCCTTAGGGTGGCATTCAGGGATCTCAGTAACATGCTCTGCTTCCACCCGTACTTTCCATCTCAGGCAACACCTCAGTCCAACTGTTCACCACCTTGCTGTTTCTTTCTCCGGGTTCAACCTCATGCCCCAATCCTGGTGACATACTCATTTCCAGAAGCATGGACTCTAGTCATGTTAGTGTCTCATTTTCTTCAACTATGAATTTTCCCCATCCTTTAAGGCATGATTTACTGCTAATGTTAATTAATAACTGAATACCACAGGCAATATAGCCTCCATTTTGTAAATTCCCAAGGATGTGGAAAAAAAGCAGCGTTGACTCAAACTCCAACTCATCCAGCTTACCTGAATGAGCTTGGGGAAGCTATTCACTCCTCAATGCTTGAGGTTTTCATTCAAAAAAAGCATTTTAAAATGCCTTCTTAGCTGCTAGGCAATAGTTATGAAAAGTCTAGCAAAGTGTGTAGCAGATAGTACATTTTCAGTAAATTATTTTTTTACTTGTGCATTTAATATAAAAAGTATTTTTATTTAGATATTTAATATTTTATTGCTTTTCTGTGTCCTTTAGTCTTGAATATCTGCATCTTTTGTTAATGCTATGGACATGTAAATATTTTTTATTGGAATCAGTGTAGGTATTTAGTATTTTTTGATGACCAACAAAATAAGTAATGTGAGGAAGAGAAATTTTGCTTTCATCAATGTATTCAGTAATTACATTATCATATCTTGAATATATAAACAAACTATACAAAAAATTAAAACCCATGGGGGTTTTGGTATGAATGACATAATTTTCACTAAAAATTTATAAATCACCAATATATAGATACTTTATTTCAGATAATTTGAAAGTAAAAAATGATTGATACTAAATATAACTATGCTCTTGATTAAAGAATAAAGATGTAGAATTAATAATACTCAAACATAATCTGTCAAAAGAACTCAATATAAATTAAAAATCAAATTCAAAACATACCTTGGATGATGTTGTTTTAGAAAAAATAATATTTCAGAATGTGGAATGCACTTGATATTGTAAGATTCGGATTTGGTATTTTAGAATTTTGTTAACTATATAATTGATAGATACCTTTCAAAATACTGACTTCCATCCTAACATTTGTTGGATTTGTCAAAAAACTGTGACTGCACTCAGATCCTCATGAGTAATTACTTGGTTCATCTCTGATGGGTTCCAGTAAATTAGATTTTGAATAAATTTTAGCAGAATGTCTCCTTTCCAAACTAATTTGATTCAAAAATCATTGTGTTAATAATTTAATATTTTTACAAGGCTCTTTCTTTTTACTTTCTCACTATGTGAAGATCTTGAAGAAAGTATTATCAAATTATATTTGGTTTTCTAAGGAAGATGGTACTTGTTTCAGGATGTTACAATAATCTCTTCTTCATAACTCCTTTCATGACATGTATTACTTCCTTATTTCTTAGACTATAAATAAAAGGGTTCAATAGAGGAATAACTAGGGTATAGAAAATAGAAACAGGTATAGCTTTATCCCCTTCATTGACAGAACTCGGTCTGGCATACATGAAGAGAAGAGAACCATAAAAGATTGACACAGACAGGAAATGAGAAGCACAAGTAGATAAGGCTTTGCCTCTTCCCTCTTTGGATTTCATTCTGAATATAGTAAAAAGTATATAGAAGTAAGAAATTAGAACTATAGTAATAGTAAATATTTGAATGGAGCCTGCCAGGATAAATAATATCAATTCATTGATATAAGGATCAACACAAGAGAGTCTATATAATGGAAGGACATCGCAGAAAAAGTGGTCAATTTGGTGAGACCCACAAAAACTTAACCTAAACAAAAATCCTACTTCAATCATGGGATGCAGGTTTCCAGCTATGTAGGCTCCTGTGATCATTTGAATGCAGAGTCTCTTTGACATCATGCTGTGGTACTGCAGTGGGCTGCATATGGCCACATAGCGGTCATAGGCCATTGCTGCCAGAAGAAAGCAGTCTGCAGTTTCAGCAAGACAGAGAAAATAAAACTGTGCCATGCACTCATAGAGGGAAATCCTTCTGTCCTGAGAGAAGAAGTTCTCTAACATCTTGGGAGTGATGGCACAGGAACAGCAGGAGTCCATCAGAGCCAGGTTGCCCAGAAAGATGTACATTGGTGTGTGAAGACGATGCTCCATGTAAATCAAGGCCACCAAACCCAGATTTCCCACCATGGTGATGAGGTAGATGACAGAGAACAGTATAAATAAAAGAATTTTCTGGTCTGGGTGATCTGTAAATCCTATGAGGATGAATTCAGTGTTCAAGGAATGGTTGTCTTCAGTCATCTCTACCTTGCCTATTGAGATAGGAATTATGAAGTCATAAGATTCTAGTTGAGATAATATAATATGCTTTTTCAGTTTCTTTTTACACAAGTGGAGAAGTTTCTCCTTCAAGCATCCCATGTGGTCTTTAAAATATAGCTGTATATACATTAGGATACATTAGGATACATTAGGAGGTTTTTGTTTTCTTAAAGTGTCAGCATCTGTGACCTGAAGTTGTGACTTTCAAAATTCAAAATAATATTTGAAAATTCTGAAGAAAAGGTTTAGTGTGGATAAAATTATCTTTTTTTATCCCTCCAAGAATAGTGTAAAAGTGTAGAGCACTCATATTTGCTTCACTTTTTCCAAATAATTTTAGTGTCAATTTTATTATGATACCTATAGTGAATTTAAAATCAGTTTTCTTATGATGTGTTTTTTTACTACTGAGAAAAGGTTTTATCCTTCTACAGGACTGAATGTTCTACAAAATCATATTACAGATTTGTTACATTTATGTCTTTGAGATTGTACAAAGTTGACTATGGACTAACTATCTTTAAAGAAAATTACCTACGAGAGCTAAAAAAAATAAGTTCACAATTATTTTCTGTCTAATCCCTTTCCCCAGTGTCACACTCATTTTCATAAACACTGACTGTATCCATGTCAATATTTCCATTGACTTTTTCCACATGACTAACTCCTTTCTCTTTTTGATGTCATAGTTATTTAAAGTGCTGTTTCAAAAAGTTTTAACTGAATATCTTAGACCACGCTGATTTAGTTTTCTGAATTGTGGGTGTGCCTTTTTAACCAACACAATCTATAATTTCTTGCTTATAATCTACATTGCTTTAATTTTCAAGTATCCAAACAATTTTCTTATTAATAAGAATGTTTAGGCTTGTTGTTACATACTTCTGTGAGAGGAGTCTTAAAGTGCTAAGTAGAGAGAGAATCAATTCCAACCCTAACTCCACTACAATGACCTATAAATGTGTTACCATCTTCTCAGGATCTTAGTGATGATCCTTAGTAACAGCTTTAGCTCTGCCTATTCAGAAGAAGAATCTACAGGAAAAATATTCAAAGAGAATAGGAGAAACATCTAGAGAAAGAGTATCTTTCCTTCATCTAAGTAGATTATTTTCTATTTTTCTGATTCCTTTGAAAAACATGAAAGTTTCTGTAAAGTATATCATAATAGATAAAAAGCTAGTAAAAGTAGGCTTAACAGTATATCTCAGTTTTTAACATTTAGAAAGGAGAAAATCCTGTAAGCTCCAAAAGAATTTTTGAAATCAGATTTGTTTTAAGAGATTATTTCCTCTTATTACTTAGTGATCCATTGGCACACAGTGATTGACATATCTACTCTTATAAATTATAAGGTCAAATGGGTTTGTATTTCTATAATAAAACATCAAAAGAAATGTGGAAGAAAACTTTTTTAATACAAAGATTAAATATAAGACATGTAGTTAGTTAAAGTGCAATTCACCATCAATGTATATGCTTGACATATTTAACAGAATATATTGTGGTCTTACCTGTATATTTTGAAATTGTATTTTATAATGAAACAGTCAGATGAATCTTAGTATTCCTTGTTTTAGTTTCCCATATCATTCAATATTGAGAGTAGCAAGAAAGATAAAAAGTAGTTAAAATTTAGGGACAATGAAAACTAACAAATAATTCAAGCAAATAAACAAATAAGGCTTGCTATAATTAAAAAAGGGAAATTAGAATATTAGCTAATTTTACTGAGAAGAGCTTTTTTTCTTTTTCTTTTTGTTTTCTATTTTTTTCAACCGGGGATCAAATTTGGGTCCTTGTGCTTGCGCAGCAGGTGGCGGAAACACTGAGCTAAATCCCCGCCTGAGAAGAGCTTTTTAAATGTGCATTGTTTGCTTATGGAAAAGGTCTCAGAATATAAGAATGCACCTATGTGCTTTGTCCTCTAAAGGACAAAGGTTGAGGTTAAGAGAATGAATGTTTCAGAGTCTATCTACAGGTCACTGTTAATAATTATGTCCCTTACTTTGCAAACTTTTCCACCAAATCCTAAAGGGATTTCCCCACACCAACGTCAGTATATTTCTGTGGCTATACTAAGTTCTGAAAACATATAAACCACTCGAAGGTAATTAAAGATGTCCTGTGAGACAATGAGGTTACAGCAAATGACCTTCACTAAGGTCTGTTGATCATCTTGCTGATTTGTACATATCTGACCAAGTTTTTTTTAATTCTGTGCATCACTCTGTGCATAAAATACAAACCAGGCAGAAAGTAGCCTCTATCTGGTTTGATCCCATAATGGAGGAAATGGAATTGATATGGTTTATGAAAAATTAATATTTGGAGAGGAAACTAGAAGTTGTGCTAGGTTCAACAAGGGTCATCAACTTCATTCTGTAGATTTTTTTTTTTTGGAACAGGGGATCAAACTCAGGTCCTTGCACTTGCACAGCAGGCACCAAAACCACTGAGCTAAATCCCTGGCCCTCATTCTGTAGTTCTAATAAATCCTCTTGCCCTAAAAGGTGCTCTCAAAATTTAATACTATTACTTTTCCTGTAGACTATTTACTGAGATTGTTCTATCTTTTGTGTTCATATCAACTGCCACTTACCATCCTAAGTCTTTTGTTTATCCTAATTCCACTAATTCCTCTTCACTCCATATTTACATGCTTGTAACTCTGTAACTTGTTAGTCTTTCCCATTTCCCACCATAACCATCTGGGTTTAGAAAGTTTTTTTTAATGTGTCTAATCCTGTATTTCTAACACTATGAATAGTGTCTCACATTTCATAGTGTCAATATTTGTTGAATGAATTAAAAATGTGCTTCTTCTCTGTTCAATAATTCAGAACAGAACCTCACCACTTTTCAAATAAGACCCATTTCTCCCATTTTGCAGATCCAGATACTCCATAGTCTGTCTGCATCTTGTTCCCTGTCTTTTTACTGTAAACTGTGGGGAACATAGCCATGAACACCACTTCCATGATCCTCATTTGCTTCAGTTAATTTGGTAGTGATGTTTTTCTCACCAAAATAATTTCCTCTTCTTTCATCTCAATTATGCTGATACTTGAATTCAAATATGAATTTCTCTGAGAACTTCTCTAGGTCTTTGTAATCATATTTATTTTTCTTATTCTTTATGTAAATGATGCATATCTTCCTTTATAACATAGTTTCCACTTAATCAGGTATGAATTGTGTCCCTCAATTGTATAATTCTTTGTCAAATAGGTTTAAGTTAGGGATCAGTCAATAGATTGTTGGGGCTCTTTGGAGCAAACTGAACTGAATCTTCAATTAGTGTGTATTTCCTTGATTGCTAAAAAGCAATCTTCAATTAGTGTGTATTACCTTGATTCACTACAAAGTTCAATAAGTAAAGGAGACGTGGTGTAATCAAGATGAGGATAAGAACATTTTTTCTCCTGACAAGAAGCTCAAAAAAGGAAAACCTGGAAGAATGGTGAATTATAAGAATGAGGAAGCTTTTTCAGTGGAAGTGTCCTTTCAGGTGAACTTTATAACATAAGCAGAGTTAGAATTGACAGATAAAATGGGGAAAAGTAACTGAGAGAACCACATGAAAAAACCCTGAATATTTGAAAGAGCCAGATGCAGTTAAAAAATTGAATACTAAAGTAATTGCCTGGAACTAACACACACAATATAAGAAAACATTTACAAGTGAAATGGAGGGTGGAGAGTTAGACTGGAAATTGTCCTATTTGGTTTCTTCTTCCTCCAAAATTGCACTGAAACTTCCCCCTGTTAATGTCAAAATCAACCCTAAATATCATTCCAAAGAACTTCTAATTAACTTCCTAACTAAACTGCTTGGCAATATTGGAATTCTAACATTTATCTCTGTGATAATACCTACTGGTTCTACTGAATAGTTTCTCTGGTGTGAGAAACTGAAAGTGTAAATAAGGACTAAATGTATAATAGGTAATGTGAAATAGGAAGAAAAGGG